AGCACCGACCCTCCGACAGCGCGGCGCTCCCTCAGCACCGACCCTCCCGCATCATCAACCACCCGATCAGTGTGCAAAACCATATACTCACTGAACAAGTGCACTGAATGCAGGGTCCACCAAAAGCGGGGTGAAACATCTGGCCATTGCCAATGAGGGCACTCTCGTATTCGCACACTGAATGGGGAAACACAACAGATGGTAGTAAAGCTTCATATTCGGTTTGCATTACAGATTACACAACCATTAAGTTGTGGAGTTTCACATGCAATATTCTTGCCTTCAAACTTCCTGCCCAATCCCGAAACAGCCCAATGTGAGAATTTACTTGTGACACTAAGGCCTTTGTGAATGGGAGCTGGAGATTGGACAGAGAACCCTTGCTCGCCGCTCTCTGTCTGACAGGAAAAGTCTGAGCACCATCCAATGCTCCTGCCTCAGTCATCTGGCAAAGAGATTGCCAGAGCTCAGCTCAGGGACTACAGCTAATCATTTATTAAACAGATAAATGGACAGTACTTAGTGTACTTACAAACTTTGTAGATCTCGTCAAGACGTGGTCAACGTTTTCCTGCAATTACATTTCCACAACAAGCTGATCTTTGAAACTTGGTGCCAGTTTAAAAAACGCAATGAGAAAAAAAATTAAGAGTCTTGCATTTTCCTAGGCCTGTCATGATCTAAGCAGCACAAGGGGTCAGCCACTCAGCCTGTCAAACCTACTTTACCATTTATTTCAATCATGTCAGACAGAAAGTGCTTGGGAAACTCAGCAGGACTGCCAGTGTCTGTAGAGAGAAATAGAGTTAACATTCATTACCAGTCACTGGACTCAAGATACTAACTCGGTTTCTCACTCTTTACAGATGTAGCCTGAGTTTCTCCAGCAATTTCCATTTTTGTTTCAGATTGACAGCAAGTCTGACCTTTGGTTTCCCATCCCCTGTCCTGTTTAGTCTTCCCATTCCTTCACTCTTGGAGAGACCCCAAACCTGTCCACCCCAGGTTTAAATGTATTCAACCATGATGGATCCACAACCCTCCAGGGTCAAGCATTCCAAGGATTCACAGCCCTTTGAAGAAGGGAATTTCTCCTCCTGTCAGGTGGCCCCTTATCCTGAAACTGTGCTGCATTGTGCCAGACAGTCCAGCCTGGGCAAACAACAGCTGAGTGTCTAACCTCTCACCCTCCCTCAGAATATGGACCCGGTTTACATTACTCTCATCCCACAGTCTAATCGCGTGGATCTCTGCCGTACTGCCTCCGATGTCAGTATATCTTTCCTAAACCATAAATACAAAACTGCACGCAGGATTCTGGCTGGGCTCTCTCCAAAGCCCCATAGAATTGTTTAAAAAAAACAGCCAAAGAACTGCAGACCCTGGAAATCAGAAACAGAAAAGGAAATCGCTGAAAAGACTCAGCAGCTCTGGCAGCATCTGTGGAGAGAAAGCAGAGTTAATGTTTCGGGTTCGGTGACCCTTCTTCAGAACTCCAGAAGCAGGGTCACTGAACCCAAAACGTTAACTCTGCCTTCTGTCCAGATGCTGCCAGACCCCGCTGAGACTTTCTGCAATTTTGGCATTTGTTCCCATGGAATTGTAACAAGACTTCTTTATTCTTATCCTTCAATCCCCTTGTAACAAAAGCCAACATGCCATCTGCTTTCCCAATTTCCTGCTGTACCTGCATTCTTTCTGTGTTCCTTATATGAGTACACCCAACTGTCTCTCAACATTAGTATTTACACATTTCACGTCTCCTAAAAATATTCTGTTTCTCTATTCTTGCAAATGAAGTGAATAACTTCAGTTATTCTTTGAGTTCTGAGGAAGGGTCACCCTGCATTTTTCTTCACAGATATGGCCAGACCTGCGGAGCTTTTCCAGCAACTTCTGTTTTTTGTTTCTGAATAACCTCAGGCTCCCCCAGGTTATAATCCATCTGATGCCTTGTTGCCCACTCAACTAACCTGTAATACTGTTCTTATGTCAGCGTGGCCAATTTGCGCACAGCAAAATCCCACAAACAACAATATATCGAGTCTTATTTTTCACAGCAACACACTGGTGACTTTGATATCCCATGACCAAAGACATTAAAACTACCAGCTCCCACCTCTGGTTTGTAGATGAATGGAATAAGAATCCAACACTATTCCCATTGTGTGGTGTTTTTCCAGAGTATTTACTCTTTCCAGGTAACACAACGAGCTGCTCTGAATGCACTCAATGATACAGTTTATCCATCTAAAGGTTGTTGTAGAAACAATACAATCATTTTAAAGTTGACACTGCCAGGTAAACTCCCTGCACAAGCTACTTGCAGTAAACAAACTAAACCTTAGAACGCTGGAAACAGGAGGTAAAAGTCTGACAAATATTCCATTAATGATAAAAATTATAATTTTTTGTTCCATGTATGTGTCTGATGGAAACACAACTAGACATATGTTCAAGTTCAGGGAGATTTAGGGTGTTTGTGTAGGAAGTGATGAAGTTGTTACCGTGTGGATGGTAGATTCAATATCTAATTGTTTAAAGCTGTTTCTCCCAGCCATACGTGGAGTCCTCCACCATGGCATTCCTAGTTGCCAAAGTTACTTACTGTCACATGATGGGCAGCAATGTCCAGCCTGATTGGCTGGATGACTGCAGCGAACAGGTGGGCAATTCCGGTCCAATCGATGACAGGATACATTGCCAGCCTATCAGGGGAAGAGAATATTGGCATCATTCACCCTGAACCAATTGCAACAACCAAAGCAGTGAGGTGAACTGACCAATCCTCATGCATATACCCAAAACATGAAACCAATGACCAGAAGGTGACTGGTTGGTTGCATTAACGTGGTTGACATGTTAACTTTAGATCAAAACCTAGGCCCAGGCAGCCACATGCCTAGAGAACCACAACACCAGGCAAACAAACAATCAAAACATTTCAGGTCTCAGGCCTCCACTAGCAGCAAATACTCCCACCTCCAAATCTGTCAATGGGGAGGGGGAAATATTGGAAATGCCAGATCAGGTCAGACAGGGAACACGCAGTAAGACTGCACCTCATTAGTGCCCAATGCTGATTTGGTTTGATTTATTATTGTCACGTGTACCTACATTGATAAGTTTTGTTTTGCGTGCAGTACAGGCAGATCATAGCACACAAGGTGAATTAGGGTGATAGAACAGAGCGAGGAATAGCTGTTACAGCTGCAGAGAAGGTGCACAAAGAGTGAGATCAACATTTAAATGTGTGGATGTGGGGGTGTGCGGGTGAGAAACGGGAAAATTGGGGAGGAGGGGAGGTAGGAACGGGAAGGTGGGGAGGTGTGGGTGAAATTGGGAGGTGTGGGGGACATGGGGTGGAGGGGGTATTTGAGGGTCAGTAGAGATGGACAGGGTATAGGGAAGGGAGTAAGGTTTTTGGGGGAGTAAGGTTTTTGGGACAGCCAGGCACAAGAAACAGGGTTCATGCCTTACTTCTAATACTCTCTGTTGAAGCAGGTTATCTATGTGGATCAGTGGAGAGTTAGTGCAGTCAGGCAGTGGGTCTGTACTCACCTCACAGTGACACCTCAGGCAGGGGTCGGAGTGAGGTGTGAAGACCTGTCCATCTCTGAAGGTCTCAGCCTCATACTCACACTGCTCACACCTACCAGACAGGACAAACAGGTTAGTGCTCAGGGTTAGTCCACTGTCCTCAGCCATTTCATAATCAGTCCCTGGGCACACAGGCTGGCATTGAGGGGAAGATCAGGAATCCGATAAGAGTCAGACACACCATATTCCTCAGGACATGGAGGACTCTGCACCTTCCAGGGAATGGTGTGGAGAATCCACAAGCAAAATCCAGTCTCAATGTCGGGTTTTCAACACTGCAGCTGGTCTGTCACCTTAACCAAGGTCCACAAATAATACAGACCGGGATCGCTCCGGGAGTGGGACTGAGTCACACACGGACCGGGATCGCTCCGGGAGTGGGACTGAGTCACACACGGACCGGGATCGCTCCGGGAGTGGGACTGAGTCACACACGGACCGGGATCGCTCCGGGAGTGGGAC